AGAAAGAGGTAGCAGACAGCTCAGTGGCCATCCTGAGAGGCCTGAAAGATGAACGGGCCTGGGGTGACGTGAGCAAGTCTGGTGGTGACGGTCTGCGAGGTCCGGAGGGTGTGTAAGGCAGGAGCATTGGAATCGTGGCTGTGCCGAGTCTCCTCTCACCCTCCCCTTCTGCCCCCTCCCCAGGAGATAGAGACCTCAGAGCCCTGCAGCTGTATCCACTTCACCAATTACAGTATCCTCATCGGAACCAATAAATTCTACGAGATCGACATGAAGCAGTACACACTGGAGGGTAGGCCCGTCCTCTTCCCCGCCCACACCTTGCCCAGGCCTCAGCAAGCAGCAGAATGATCCCTGCAGCCCCGCCTCTCCCCTGCCTTTCCAGAGTTCCTGGATAAGAACGACCATTCCTTGGCGCCTGCCGTCTTTGCCTCCTCCTCCAACAGTTTCCCCGTCTCCATCGTGCAGGTGAATGGCGCAGGGCAGCGAGAGGAGTACTTGCTCTGCTTCCACGGTGAGCAGCGGTGTGGCCCACTGTGTTCTGGGGTTCCTGGCTGGGCCTGTGGGGTTTGGGGGTGATTGGTGGTGCTCCGGGGCAGGGTAGGACCTGCTCCGGGACGGGATCATTTGACACCACGTAGGCCCACTGGGGCTCCCTCTCCCCCCCTGTACTCTAGTGTGGTCCCACCTGATCGCACCCTCTCCAGCGAGCTGACAGTCTTGTCCTCTGTCTCCCCTATGTTCTCCCTTTCCCCCCATCTCTCTTCCTTGATTTCTTTCTTTGACCTTCTTTCTTTTTCTCAAGATATTTCTTTCTTCCTCTCCCACCCCCTTTTAAAAAAAAATCTGAGTTTTTCCTTCCCTCCTTCCTTGTCTCTGTCTCTCCCCTTTCCTCCTTGTTCATTTACTCCTTCCTCTGTCCCTTCCTCTTTTTCTCCCTTCTTTCCTTACTGTTTCTCTCTCTCTCTCATTTTTTTTTTTTAATTTTAGCTTTATTTATGTCATGAGAGTAAGAGAGAACAGCCAGCATTCTCAGCAGGGTCTTATGCCCCAACCCCCCCAGGCTCTTCGGCCAGCCAGGATCATGGGTACTTGGACCTGGTGTGTACATGTTAACCACGGGATCAACTCAGGGTATTCAGTGCTGAGCCTGCATTTCTTTTCTTTCTTTCTTTTTTAATTTTTTTTTCTTTTTTATAGACAAATGATTAATAGATTTTTGTGATAGGCACATGCACTTGCCAGAGAGACGGAGACAGAGAAACAAAGTGAGAAATCACCCCCCAGGGGGGATGGCCACATCACAATCCCTTCTCTTCCATTCTCTCGGGATCTTGGGCATGTACGCACATGCGCCCAGCATGAGTTGTAAGCCGCCAGGTCTGGAATTGTACCACAGTCAACCAAGTAGGAGTCCAGCAACATAACCACTACACCATCTGCTGGACCCAAGTTTACATTTCTTGAGCAGCAAGTTACTGCTGGGCCACCAACCCACTTCTCCCCTCCTCTCTTTTTCTTTTTTTTTTTTTTTTTTACAATGGATCGTCTCTTTTGCTATAGAGTGCATGTATTCTCCAGAAAGACAGAGAGAGACAGAGAGACAGAAAGTGAGGAGTCACCCCTTCCCCAGGGAGGATGGCCACACCGTAATCCCTTCTCCTTCATTCTCCTCCCGGGATCTTGGGCATGCATGCACACACGCCCGGCGTGAGTTCAAGCCACCGGGTCCAGGACTCGAACTGTGGTCAACTACATGGGAGTCCAGCAACATAGCCATTATGCCAGCTGCTGGTCCCCTCTCCTCTCTTTTTTAAAACAACCCTAATTTTTAATAAAACTTAGAGCCCAGCAGAGGTCCTCATGTTAACCATCCAGTTAAACCCAGCCAGTCATCCCTGGCCTCTCTTCCCCATCCTCCCATGACAGTGCTTGTCACCGACACCCCCAGCTTCTCGCTGTGCTAATGCCCTGTGCTCCTGACTCCTTGCAGAGTTTGGGGTCTTCGTGGATTCTTACGGAAGACGGAGCCGCACTGACGATCTCAAGTGGAGTCGCTTACCTTTGGCGTTTGGTAAGTGAGGCACGGGGCAGACGGCTCCTCTTTTGCTAGCAGCTGGTGTCCTGGGAAAGAATGGCAGGTGGGACTCTCTTCAGCCTGAGCACTGCACTCATGGGCTCCATTAGACTCCAAGTGTCCTGGGTTACAGTCACCTGAATAAAAGTTGCTGGCACAGATTCTGAGGCTCGATGAAGTGGATAAGTCAGGTCCGTTCAGCCGCCATCCCAGCCTTGTAAAACATGTGTTAGGTTCTCCCATGGAAAGAAGGCCATTCCCTGTGGATTTGTTTAAGTCATTTTCCAAGGCCGCCTAGCTGAATACCTCTAATATCAGTTTTAGTTAGGCGGAGCAGTTGGGAGATGCTCTTTCTTTTTAAATGTAAACAACACTGTGTTGAATGTCAAGTTAATTTCTATACACTTTTCAAACACTACCCCCTGATCACTAGTCCTTAAAAGTGGAGTTGCTGGGTCAAAGAATAAACATGGACATACTTAGAGATATGTACGTCTATGTCTGTGTGAACCAGCTGAAATCCCATCATGGCCAAAACGCCCTTCAAGGCTATTTTCTTTATCTATTACAGTATAACAAGCCATTTCAAAGTGTAGTGGCTTAGAACCACAGATTTTCATTGGCCATTGTTCTGTGGCTTGACTAGACGGTTCTGCTTTAAATGATGTCAGTGGGGGCGCTGGAGCAACTAGAAAGTCCAAATGGTCTCATGGTGGCAGTCACATGGCAGGCAGTTGGTGCCATAAGGTGGGAGCTCAGCTTAGGCTGATGGCGGGGAGGCCTCAGTTTCCCTCCACGTGAATGTCTTCCAAGAATACAAAAGCAGGCGGTTTTCCACCTCATTGTACTGGTTGAAGCAGGCCAAGGGTAAGCCCAGATTTAAGGGAGGGGGACGACATGAGGACTTGAGTATTGGGAGGCTTGGTTGATAGTCAGTACTGATATAATACTTTATTGCAAGGGATAATTGTGATCATCGCCTTCATCGCCTTTTCCCTGTTTTTTTGTTTTTTTTTTTTTTTTTTTTTTGCTACAGGGTGCATGTGCTCGCCAGACAGACAGAGAGAGACCGAGAGATAGAAAGCAAGAGGGGATGGCCACACCGCAATCCCTTCTCCTCCATTCTCCTCTCAAGATCATGGGCACGCACGCACACACGCCCGGCGTGAGTTTAAGCCACTGGTTCCGGGACTCGAACCGTGGTCGACTAGGTGGGAGTCCAGCGACATAGCCATTACGCTAACTGCTGGTCCCATCGCCTTTTCCCTTTAAGGCAGAAAACAGTTCCAGTCGTATTGTTTTTAATTTCAGTGACAATATGATACAGCATGTTAAGAGCACCAGAAATATTTCATTATCTCTGAACCCTGTCTTCTTTTTTTTTATTTTTCGAAGATGTATGCAGACAGTTTTACAAAACAGATGATGAAAAGTCTCTCCCATCTTACCCATCTCCAAAATTCTCCCTCTTTATACCTTCAAAGGAAAAACCTTTATGAGTTCCTTATCCTCCCAGTGCTTTGTGTACCTATAAGTACATAAAAATATATATATATTCTTTCCCCACTTTTTTTTTAAAATCAGTAAGGAGCACATTTCATATATTATGTCAAACCTTGCTTTATTTGCCAAGCACTATATTGTGGGTCTTTTCCCATGTCAGTACTTAGTGAACTTCTTCATGCCTTGCTTCTGCTGTACACGTTTCACAGATGTACCATGATTTATTGAACCAGTCCCCTGTAACATACATAGGGTTGTTTCTCGTCTTCTGCTATAACAGACAGTACAATAATGAATAAACTCCAACACATGCATGATTATGCTGGCACATGGATGTCTTTGTAGGAGAAAGTCCTTCATGTGGGATGACTGAATCAAAGAATGTATTGCAGCCAGGTCTGGGTTTTTCTTCTTTTAACCCTTCTTTGTCATACACTCTTCCTCCCTGGTGGCCTGCAGCCTACAGAGAACCCTACCTGTTTGTGACCCACTTCAACTCACTCGAAGTAATTGAGATCCAGGCACGCTCCTCGCTGGGGTAAGCATCGCTCTTTCATGCTTTGGAAACCTTAGCTGTTTGGGAGGTATTGGAGTGGGGTGCATTTTCCTTCCTAATCCACTGAACAGTGAGTGTCAACTGTTTCCTGTGACTCTGCAGGACCCCTGCCCGAGCATACTTGGAAATCCCGAACCCACGCTACCTGGGCCCCGCAATTTCCTCGGGCGCTATTTATTTGGCGTCGTCATACCAGGATAAACTAAGGGTCATTTGCTGCAAAGGAAACCTCGTGAAGGAGTCTGGCACTGACCACCACCGGGTCCCCTCCACCTCCCGCAGGTACCGAACCTCTCCTCTTCTCGTGACAAAGTGCAGGCAGAGTGCTTTCCTGCCCAGCAGAAGGAAATCTTGCAAAACTGGGTGAAGGTTTCCCAATCTTCACTTTGTTCTCAAGCTCAAACCTCTAATTTTTTTGAGATCTGCAGCACAGAAATGGTAGTCCCTTATAAGCCCTGGGAGAAGTGTAAATCACCTCCTTGTGAAAGTTGGACGGAAGTAGTCTGGTCTTTTTCTGATGGGTACCTAGTGGCTCTGTTAGGAACGGAGCATGGATTCCTCATGCATTGCATTTCAAGTGTCCGCTGTCTAGTTGGTGGGCTAGCAGGGGGAGGTGTGCAAGTCAGATGCAGCCCCTCCCTGAGGACGCTCAGAGCCCCGTGTGAGAGAGACACTAGCAGTCAGGATTTACAGCACAGTGTAATGAGGCTCTGATTGGGGGTAGTTTAAAGCACAAGCAGAGTGACCAACAGATAGTGTAGCAGTTAAGATGCTGGAATTCCACAGAGCGGACCATGGTTTGAGTCCTGGACAAGGAGGCTTGAAATTCACACTGGGCACATGTGCAAGCATGCCCAAGATCCCAAGAGGAGAATGGAGAAGGGGTTGCAGTGTGGCCATCCCCTCTGCGGGGGAGAGGATTTCTCACTTTCTCTCTCTCCATCTCTTTTTGTTTCTCCAGCAAGTACAAATGCCCTAGAACAAAAATCTCTTTAAAAAATAAAGCACCAGGGGAGGGAGTCAGGGTTGGGTTCCCATGCCGACCTACACATGCTAGCACGGTTGTGCATGCCTGCAATCTTAGCTAATTGGGAGGCTGGGGCAGAAGGTTGCCACATTGAGACCTTCCCCTAAATGCCTGTTTTAGGCCAGCTTCATGGCCTATTGGTTAACGAAGCCAGATCCCACTTGACCACCCATGTGGTTTGAGTCCCAGATCCCATGGCTTGAGAAACACACTGGGCACATGTACATGCGTGCTCAAAATCCTGAAAGGAGGGAGAAGTGGAGGAGAAAGGATTGCAGCATGATGACACCTCATTAAGGGCTGCTTCCTCTCTCTCCTCTCCTCTGGCCAATTAAAAATACTTTTTCTATTTCTACCCCTTTCACACCCTCTTCCTCTCATAAGGGTGGATAAAAAGCACGTGGGGAGCTCAGAGGAGAGGATCTCTGGCTTGGACTTGGGGGCCAGGGAGGATTTTTTTTTTTGAAGAAATGAGGTTGGGGGGTCAGGGTGGGGTCAGGGAGGGCAATGAGGAGCACACCCAGGAAGGAAAGGCAAGTCACTAACAGGAGGTCCAGAGGTGTGAGATGATGAGAAGGCAGC